AAATTATAGCATATACATAGGAATATTAATAGTAGGAACTGTAAATGCCCCGAGATATTGGCAAATGGAATATATATCCTACCTAACACATAACTAAAGAATATGACAAGTACAGAATTAGCATCCACTTAACCTTGTATATAGTAATGCTTCTGTTAGCACTCAGAATTAAAACACTGGGCACTCCCAATTTATGGAAACATTTCACAACCAGTGCCACGCCCAAACATGTGTATTCACTGTCAGGTAATACTGAGTTAACAACAGAAAAATTTGGGTGATTTGTTACATATCAAATTCTTCCACTATTAATGAACCTTATTCATACACTCTACAAGTTATTGCTGCAGGTTTCCTTTTACTTTAAAAACAAGACTTTTTCTAAACCTAACTCCAAGGTATTTCTTGAACTTATTTCACTCTCTCTAAAGGCAAACCACCACAAAAGTTGCACCTCGAAAATATATGGGACAAAATCATTAGCAATCTGAAATAAATACTCATTAGTTACAGTGGAATGATTATTAAACAATCTCGCATAGAGAAAATGGGTTATAACTCAGTTAAAAATCATAGTATCACAGTCATTTTCCCAACTCCTCGATACTATGTTCATTACATCACCATAGCCACCATTTATGAGGCTTGCCACCTATGAGGTGTGGGCCACCTCACCCTTCATGAGGGCCTGTGTGCCATGAACACCTTTTTAATTTTTATATATCACCATTGGTAGCGGAAGATAGGGAGGCTCGTGGGTAGGTGTAATGATAGTATCAAGCAATAGGAAAATCTGCAAATACTGTATAGGTAAATAATATACACAATTATACAAATACAAAGTTTATTTAAAACATGAATATGAAATTAGAAGAAAGAATTGGTTTGTACTAACAGACAAATCTATTACTAGGCCCTCAGGCTCAACATACTCACACCATTACTGGGTGGACATATTCAATACCCTTCCAACTTACGGGGTGGACATACTCAATAACACAACTATGATAGCCACTTAGCACCATAAGCAGGGGCAACTGCCACTACAACACTCAGTCGCCAGGAGTGATACTTCAAGCAACAGCCATGGTCCAGCCAATGCGAGTACATCCACACCTTGGGAGATCCCAGTGGGTTAATTCACCCATACAAAATTGAGTAGCCCCTACTGAGGTAGACATTCATCCACCAATGATGGGGGCTGGTAGTGGTGTGTGGCTTGGTGGTCCAGGGTCACCAGGGGACCGAAAGCAAGTAGGGGGGCTGCATCTGTGCCAGCTATGGGGGCGTAGTGGCCTGCAGCCTTACCTGCTGGGTCTCAATGCATGTAACTGATCCTACTGGACCTTTATCCCTGACATATGGATACAACATCCACCCTTACAGACACGCCTAGGCTGGCAAGTAGGGACCTGTATGGATGAAGGGACGGCACTTACTAACCGCATACCAAATAACACGTTTGTAGGGACGTTAAAGACGTAAATATGACTTTACTCAGAGCATATCAACTACGTTACTGTAACACTTTGTACAATCGACTATCATTCGTCAAATCACTTAAAAGAAGGGCAAATTACAACACACAGCTGCAATGCGACGACATGCCACGCACCTCACCATGCCCTCACCAAACCCGGCACCGTGGTTCCACCACCTGGCCCCATGAACAAATTCCATGCCCTCATGAAACCAGAGACCAACCCCATTTTCATTCTCTACTATTATTCTACTAACAATGCTCTGACTCAGCCATCGAAAGCAAAATTAAATTGATTACAAAGGAATGGATGGCAACAGGTCCCAGCATACAGCCGCCTTGCCCACAGACATCAAAGCATGGGAAACAGAGAAAACGGGGACGTTTCCACTGGGGACTCGAAGGTTTTGTGGACGTTTGAGCGCATTATGAATCCTTAAGGTTTTCAGGTTAGCTCTTATCATGACCATTACACTGTGATGCTCAAATATAGTACTGTCAGCCAGGATGCTCAAATATAGTACTACACTGCTGTGATGCTCAAATATAGTACTACACTGTGCTGTGATGCTCAAATATAGTACTACACTGTGCTGTGATGCTCAAATATAGTACTACACCACAGTTGTGATGCTCAAATATAGTACTACACTGTGCTGTATTGCTCAAATATAGTACTACACTGTACTGTGATGCTCAAATATAGTGCTCACACTTCGTACTCCGTGATGCTCAAATATAGTACTACACTGTACTCTGTGATGCTCAAACAGTACTACACTGTGCTGTGATGCTCAAATATAGTACTACACTGTGCTGTGATGCTCAAATATAGTACTACACTGTGCTGTGATGCTCAAATATAGTACTACACTGTGCTGTGATGCTCAAATATAGTACTACATACTGTGCTGTGATGCTCAAATATATACCTACACTGTGCTGTGATGCTCAAATATAGTACTACACTGTGCTGTGATGCTCAAATATAGTACTACACTGTGCTGTGATGCTCAAATATAGTAATTACACTGTGCTGTGATGCTCAAATATAGTACTACACTGTGCTGTGGATGCTCAAATATAGTACTACACTGTGATGCTCAAATATAGTACTACACTGTACTGTGATGTCTAAATATAGTACTACACTGTACTCGTGATGCTCAAATATAGTACTACACTGTGCTGTGATGCTCAACATAGTACTACACTGTGCTTAGTGCTCAAATATAGTACTACACTGTACTGTGATGCTCAAATATAATACTACACTGTGCTGTGTGATGCTCAAATATAATACTACACTGTGCTGTGATGTCAAATATAATACTACACTGCTGTGATGCTCAAATATAATACTACACTGTGCTGTGATGTCAAATATAGTAATGCTGACTAAAGCGATGTCTATATAGTACTACACTTCACAGTTGTGATGCTCAAATATAGTACCACACTGTGCTGTGATGTGCTCAAACATAGTACCACACCGTGATGCTCAAATATAGTACTACACTGTACTGTGATGCTCAAATATAGTAACAATTAAACTGTACTGTGATGCTCAAATATAGTACTCACACCTGTGTTGTGATGCTCAAATATAGTACTACACTGTGCTGTGATGCTCAAATATAGTACTACACTGTACTGTGATGCTCAAATATAATACTACACTGTGCTGTGATGCTCAAATATAATACTACACTGTGCTGTGATGCTCAAATATAATACTACACTGTGCTGTGATGCTCAAATATAATACTACACTGTGCTGTGAGAGGCTCAAATATAGTGTACTACACTAGTACCAGGATGCTCAAATATAGTACTACACTGTACTGTGATGTCAAATATAGTACTACACTGTTCTGTATGCTCAAATATAGTAATTACACTGTGCTGTGATGCTCAAATATAGTACTACACTGTACTGTGATGCTCAAATATAGTACTACACTGTGCTGTGATGCTCAAATATAGTACTACACCAAGGTATGCTCAAATATAGTACTACACTGCGCTGTGATGCTCAATATAAACCACACTGTACTGTGATGCTCAAATATAGTACTACACTGTATGTGATGCTAAAATATACTACTACACTGTACTCGTGATGCTCAAATATAGTACTACACTGTACTGATGCTAAAATATAGTACTACACTGTGCTGTGATGCTCAAATATAAAACTACACCGCTGTGATGCTCAAATATAATAGTACACTGTACTGTGATGCTCAAATATAAGGTCTGTAATTAAAATTGTGATGCTCAAATATAGTGCTACACTTGTGCTATGATGCTCAAATATAATACTACACTGTACTGTGATGCTCAAATATAGTACTACACTGCTGTGATGCTCAAATATAGTAACACTGTACTGTGATGCTCACATATAGTAATGTATAGTGTTGCAGGTACTGATCAAATATAATACTGTGCTGTGATGCTCAAGTACAATACTGTACTGTGATGCTCAAATATAGTACTGTAGTGTGCCTATCAAATATACTGCTGTACTGTGCCTATCAAATATAGTACTGTACTGTGCCTATCAAATATAATACTGTGTATGATGTCCATTATTTACCATTATTCTTATTAGGATAACCCCTTTCCAGTATATATATATATATATATATATATATATATAAAATATATATATATATATATATATATATATATATATATATATATATATATATATATATATATATATATATATATATATATATATTACTGTACAGTATTTAATAATAATAAATGTTTATTAATAGAGTTGCAGCCGGTGGCTGAAAATATACAGACTTACATTTGATTTAGACATATAATATGCATTGAATACATTTACAGGGCTGTACAGTACATAAATCAGTTGTTTATTATTTTAACAATAGTATTAGTGAGAAGGCTGGCTCGTTCTCTGGTCCAGTCTGTGTCCTGTACATGACACTCTGGACAAACTGCAGTTTCTCTCTCTCTCTACAATACAGTATAATGTCATATAAAGTTATTACACATTATCGTTATTTCACTGAAAAAGAATCCCAAGCACTGTAATCCAGTTTTCTAATAAAACCCTTGCAGGCTCCGTAATATTGTTCCGCGGGTGCCGAACTACAGGTTGTGAATCACTGGTGTAAAGTTATAACATTGTAAAACAAGTGTCCTATAGTGTTCCTCACACTGACGACACATATTAAGTGTTGTTTACCTCATTACTACTGCATCACACAAGCCACTTCATGAACATTCTTTATTCTTCCTAGCCCATGCGTTACCAATCTGGGGTAAGGACATGTATATATTTCCTGTATATATCGTGCTTGGCCATTTTGTAAGACTAGAATTGTTTTCAAATGTTCCAGAAAATACTGTGGGGAGGGAGGGGGGGGGGGTATACTAACCATAGGCTGAAGCCGTGGTTAATATTCTATAATGGTAAATCAGTCAAGTGTAAATGGTAGAGCAATAAGTACATACAGTGTATTTTATACTATCTTTACAGGTCAGCACTTCAAGCAGTACGACCTGGTGGAACTGTGGTGTACTCAACTTGTACTCTGTCACCTTTACAGAATGATGGTGTTGTACATCTAGCACTTTCTAGAATATGGCAAGAGACCACCATTGAATGCTCTGTTGTGTAAGTTGATTTCATCCATCTTTAAGTATCTAAACTTAGCTCTTTCCCACCCATCAAATCGATTTCACTTTCAGGATCATTTCCCTCTTGATGTAGGACCAAATATGCAAAATACCATGTTTGGCCTTGTAAAGTGCACCCTTAAATTAGTTGGGAATATAATTGAGACTTCTTGAATAGGATTGAAAAACTTGCTACCCCCTCAGTTTATTTTTTATTCCAATAAATCATTCATTACCACATCATTTATAATTATTTATGTATTCTTACAATTACTGCATGACTTAGGTTTTAATATCATGAGTAAAAAAATAGTTGTACAGTACAATTCATAGATGTGCTGGCAAAAGGAGGATAAAGTTATAAATGGCAAGGATAAAGTTATAAATGGCAATTTGGAGCTGCTGGTACCTATACTTGTCTGACAACTAATTTTTCACATTTGATTCACATGATGTTAATGAGAAAGATGATGAAATTTACAAATAGCCCTCATATATCTATAATTTTCCTCACTAATGGTCTCGGTTTACTTCCAGGGATATGACTTATGCAGTTCGATCATTGAGTTTCCTGTATCGCTTTGGAAATAATTTGGGCTTGCGCTATGGTCAGGTTGTTCTGCCATCACTTCTCTCTAATTTTGGTCCTATGTATTGTGCTAAAATAAGACGATTAAAATAAAAATGTGAAGTTCCTAGTAAGCTGCCAAGGTAAGTCCATTATTCAAATAAAACTAGAGAGGAAGATATGATACTAGTGTATTACTTTTCATGTCTCATTCTTTCAAAAAATATTTGAAATTATTTGTAAACCAAATGTATTGCCATGTTTTTGATTGTAAGAATATATGAATCATGTAAATACTGTATAGATTTCTAGAGCTTTTAAATTTTTTCTCATGTTTTGATAAAATAAAAAAAATCAATGGAATACTGTACCGTACTTGTTTGGTATTTAGATTTATACCTTCGGTTTTATCAGATAAATCATTTTCCCATCTCATTTACATCCACACATTTTCAGTTTTCATTGTACTTACATAAAATTAAGAACATAATACAATTTAAATAAAAATTGCAATAAATAGTCTTTTCAGCAGTTAAGAGTTCCCCAGGAAGGAGTTCAGTGGATTTGTTTACATCCCAATAGCTTCTTGCAAGTCATAGGAAGTATTGTTCATAAATAATTATTAGCCAAGAATGACTCGGGGAAAAGTTGTCAGAAATGACTGACTTAAGAACCCATCGAAAGAGGCTGCCATCAGATAATCATAGATGACTCATGTGTGGAAAATAAGAGATTCATGCATACCCTCTGTGTACATTATACAAGTAACTTTGAAATGGGTATGAAAAAGGTTAAATTAACTTGTATTACTTTTAATAGATCTGGAAGTTAAAAAAAAATACCTTATTGCATTAACCAACAACATTTTAGCACTTAACATTTAGGTCAGAATTTAAGGCATTGACTAGTTGTAAATAGGGGGAAAATGAAGATGTTTAAGCACGAAATATAATTAGCACCACTTTGCTACAATTCAGATACTGTAGAGTATTTTGAAAAGTATTCAAAACTATTTATTGCACAATTTACAAGAATTAGTAAATTACTAAATTGCTCAGTTACCTTTCAAAAATTTTTTTTACAAGGAATCTTCCCCGGGGTACATATGCTATTACTATACGTACCATTGATGTCATTTGAAATTCTCCCATTGACACTACAGGTATTTCCATAAATAATGCCATTTCAAGAACTTTCAAGCTTGAATTCAAATTACTTAAAAAATCTGCTTATGGACTGTATACAACTTTAAGGCTATTCAGGCACAAATGCTATGAACAGATGTACACCTGGGCTCACTCAAGCCAAAAATTTAACAAAATACAGTAGTCAATTAAGGATTGCTAACATCTGCAGACAACACTTAAAGTTAACGTTGAACTTTTGTATAATGGTACACACTGACATGTTATGCAACTGCTATATTATTTACACTACTGTACAAAGAAGTGTTACTATCACAACAAAAATATTCAAACACCAAGACTTGTGCAAATATTCATTGGCAACAGAAAAAAAATTATTTGACATATGTAATATGGTACTATACCTAATTTTGGAAGGAGTGCATCAGTTACAAACAAATTATAATTTTAAACATTAACAATGAATGATTTTTGTACAATTATCTAATTTTAAAGTAAATATTATAAAACACTATACAATTATTTACAAACACTACAGAAAACATCTATTATCTATTGACACTGGTTTTCTTCTCCATCTTCTTAAAGAGATCCCTGAAAAGTAAAAAAAAAAAAAAAAAAACAATATTAGATTTACATTAAAACTTGCTTTAGGTAATGCTGAATCTGTCCAAGTATTACAGTGCATATGCACATGCTTGTTTGCATGTTAACAAAACTGATGATCAGAGAGAAACTTGCACTTGGCAACCATAAGAAAATACAAATAGTGTAATAATTGGATGTATTTGAGACTGCAAACTATTTTCTATTCAAACAGAACTGATATGACCACTATCTATAATTTGAAAGCTATAATGTCTAGGTTCAATAGCTACCCTGGCTGGGTCAGCCTGGCACTGACTTTGCCTCAGAGTATAGAAAATGAGTCTATGAGAACACTAGACTGGCTGGCCACTCAAAAACAAAACATGATTAACCTCACTCCATGAATGATAATGTGAGCTAGTTCCTCAAAATTTTGCATCACCCAGAGGATGGTTTGAGTGTGGAAAGAACCTTTTTTTTTATATAAAATGTCTGCTATTGTATTTTATATGCTATACACCAATCTTATTGTATATACAAGCAAACCCCCTAATTCATAGCCTCAGTATTCTTCATCCCATTTATCCGCAATCAATTTATTGTTACCCATTTCCACTATTCGCAAATTCTTACGAGCAAAAATGTTGAACTGCGTGCCTCAACCATCGCGTAGGACAGCGTTTGTACGTATTCCTCCGCCATACGCTCCCGCTCGCCTCAGTCTCACACGTGCTGGCGTGTGTTTTGTGTGATCTCGCAATGTCTAAGCGACCAGCTACTAAAACTCCCAGCAATGTTGCTAAGAGATCACATGTGGCAGTTACACTGGACATGAAATTGGATATCGTAAAAAGACATGAACACGGAGAAGGAACGTCAGTGATTGGGCACGTGCACGGCTTGGCTCCCTCTACGGTGCATTCTATAGTTAAAAGTGCCGACAAGATCAAGGAGATGGCCGGGTCTGCAACACCACTGAGGGCTACGAAGGTGACGAGGTTCTGTGATGCCGAGATGGAGAGTATGGAGCGGATGTTGAGCACATGGATTGATGACCAGACCCAGCGCCTTAAAACACCTTTATTGCAACAGAAGGTAGTAGAGAACAACAGCTTTCAATGCAAATGGACAGCGATAATGAAAGTGAGGTGGCTGACAACCCTGGCATTGATGATGAGTGAGGTGGCTGACGACCCTGGCATTGATGATGAGTGAGGTGGCTGACGACCCTGGCATTGATGATGAGTGAGGTGGCTGACGACCCTGGCATTGATGATGAGTGAGGTGGCTGACGACCCTGGCATTGATGATGAGTGAGGTGGCTGACGACCCTGGCATTGATGATGAGTGAGGTGGCTGACAACCTTGGCATTGATGATGAGTGAGGTGACTGGCAGTGAGGTGGCTGACGACCCTGGCATTGATGATGAGTGAGGTGGCTTACGACCCCAGCCTCCTCTCATCCCAGTAAATTTTCTCCCTCTCCCCTAATGCCAACTTCAGCAAGCAAGCAGCACAGCACATCAGAGATAAATTAACAGTATGTTTAAAACTTACCTCACATACCTACGCACATAAACATTCAAACATGTAAAATACCCCTGTATACTGTACTTGTAAACATATATGCCTAATAAACTCACTGTTTGTTATTGATGTTTATTTGATATGCCCTTGTTTCTTTACATTATTTCTTATGGGAGAAATTGCTCCGCTATTCGCAACAAGTTTCATGCCCGTAACCTTTGCGATAAGTGAGGCAGCCCTGTAAAATATTTTTTTTTTATGTATGCAATTTGTTTAAATTAGGCTCACCTTGTGCACACTAAATCATTTAGCTCTGAACCACATCATTTATATAGAAGTTTGGTGTTAATAAATCAATTGTATAACTTTGAACTGTTTATAATGAACTCTTATTATTATTAGTGAGTACTGTGCTCGATGTTTACCGCCCTGCCGTTTGAACCTGTTGTTAACTTCCGTGCTTCGTTGTTATTCCTTCGTTTCACTTAATGTTAGATTTTTGAACGACACAATCCCATTGTTAAATGAGGGATACCTGTATACCACAATGGGTTTGGTCCTAAACACTGGGACTACCAATAATGTATTTATGGAAATACTGTACTATATGATTTTTGCTTACTTATGCATATAGAAGAAGATGTAGCCATTCTTCTGTCGACCTTCTGCAAAGACAACAGTCTCTGGGATTTTTACAACACACTCATCATCATAATGGAACCAGCTGTCTTCTTCACAATTGAATACATCTGCTACATAGTGCCCTGCAAAACAAAACTTATTACTCAACAGTTATATACTATATACACACACACACTCATATGTGGGGGTTATGTTTCTTGACAAAACTGTTTGGGGAACCCATTATGGCTTTACCCCAGAAGAATATGTGGGGGTTATGTTTCTTGACAAAACTGTTTGGGGAACCCATTATGACTTTACCCCAGAAGAATATGTGGGGGTTATGTTCCTTGACAAGACTGTTTGGGGAACCCATTATGACTTTACCCCAGAAGATCTACAAATGTACAGTCTCGTACAGTATAAACAAACATTCATATTCTATAAACGAAATAACCTGCAACAGCTCTTTTTATGACCACAATGAATGAAATTGTAAGATATATCAACCTATGAAAGCAAGATGATGCCATTTATAAGAATAATATTGTAAACTATTATCATCATTGTTTTTATTCATTAAAATATGATTAAAATTTTAATTACAAACTCTAAATACATCCTAATATTCTCATAGGTTTCATTTTCACAACACAGCAGAGGTGAAAATCTTAACTTGTGCTATCCGTGATTTTGCAAGAACTATAATGGAGATTGAAAGCAAAAAATTGGTGTAGCAAAAGTATATCTTCTCAAAGAACAAATACCGTTGAAATAAATGTTTTAAAATATCCTTGTTTTGAAAGTCACAAATAAAACACAGTGGTCTGTATTTATCCCGGTTAATCTTTTATAAAAGGGGGAATCAGACTACCCAAAAATTCTACTGTATATGCAGTTTACTGCTTTAACACTATTTTAATAATACCTATCATATCCACAATTCCAAACAATTTACTTATGAATATTTTTACTCACCAGTGTTAGTTGTGAGACCAAAGTGGCTGATCACACTAATTAGGCAGTAAGTATGCCGGTCACTCTCCCCGTTTTCTTCAATGACGAGACTATTTTGCCCCTTCTCATCATCCTGAGGAAGGTCAGGCATTTCTATTAAGTTTTAAATCTTCAATATGAAAGTAACATACAGTGCAGCTAAGTTAGAAGTGGGATTCCAAAAGAATGTAATGCAATTTTATTTTTGTTTTAATTACCAAGAAACCGGTTGTGCATATTATGTGGAACATTTACATATCCCAAGAAAGTGACTTGGAATTTACTTGACCAGATAGCTAAAAAAAATAAAAATAAAAATAAAAATTTTAATCGCCCATACAGATTTTTTTAGTAAATTTGTTTACCCAGATTTTATCTACGGGAAAGGTTCAAACATCTTAAAACCTTAAAATTTATTGTTTATCACAGATCACTTATGTCAGTCTAAATGCCCTTCTCCGTCAAGTGGATAACTGTAGCTTCCAGCTGGTGTCAATAACGAAACACTTGTGATGTCATAACTCCTCACCTCACACCTGAATAGAGGCAGTTAGTGGCATGATGTAGATATAAATTGCCTGCACCTGATATAGGCCACCAATCCTGTTATAGTGATGACAAGTGGTCTGTTCCCGGTTAAACATGTACTCAGAAGTGGGATCACAAAGCACCTGATAAATTCCCCATGTAGTGAATTTACCTCTCAAAATATTAGCTTGTCTGCCGTGCAAGTGCTGGGCACATGGACATGAAAAATCACTTGCTATCTGCACAGCCTGTAAAGAAGCCTTATCATCAAAGAGCAAAATAAATTTGGGTTCATTTACCCAAAAAGAATTCCATAAATGAAATAACTCAAAAGATCTTCACCTGGAATCTAGTGTACTGGTATACAAGTTCTTGCAGCTGAAACCTACCAGTTGAGATGTTATTGTGTTCAGAACACCCAGAGGATGGGAGGATGTGTTATATACCAAGGTTAGACAATTGCATGTGTGTGGAAGGGGTGATAATCTAAATCACCTTAAAATTACAATGGGGCTGAATTTGCAATCTTAGTAAATATCTCACCATTAACTGACTGTACTACCTGACACCATGCCTTATCCCAAATTTTAATGAAAATTCTTTCAGACTTAACAACTTGTACAGTATCAATAAACAGTCTCTTATTGTATGTGGAAGATTGCAAAATGGATCTAATTACTTTGTGTATGGGGCCCCCTCAGCTAAATATTAATTTGATGTTAAGTCAAATAAAATGTTAAAAGTGATGTCCCCGTAGTAAAGGAGTTAATTATGCATGAAAACGGTAAGAGTCCTCAAGATGATTTTTTTTTAAACACTGCACTGTAATGCAATAATTTGATACAGTAAAAGTCCAAAAATCCAGATGCCAGAAATCCGGACCACCCGAGAATCCGGACTTTTCGAAAACTCAAATTTTTTCTAAGCTGGCTTTTGCGTGTATGTGCGCATGCGTGAGCGCCACAGCTGCACAGCGACAACAAGCGACCATGCACGGTCGCCACTTTAAAACGAGCAATCAAACTGTGACAACGTATGTAATGTTGAGTCCCACTTTTTCCGTTCACAGAGTACTGTACAAGCCCATAATAATGGCTCCTAAAGTAGATAAACTTCGTTGTGTGAAGAGAAAGAACACGTTGAAATTGAGTGACAAACTTGAAATAATTAAGAAACTAGAACGTGGTGTGAGAAGTGCTGTTCGAATGGAAACATACGACATTGGAAAGTCTACAATTTATAATATAAAAAAAGGCAAAGAATAAAATTCCAGAATTCATAGCTTTTTCTTTAAAACTACTCGTTTTGATAAACGAAGGATGCCATATTTGCTAATGAATAAACTATCAAAATGTACCTGTTCATCTCTTCTTTATTCCTCCTTAAATTTTAATTTTAAAAGTACTGCCTGAGAATCCGGAAAATCCGGACCGACCCAATCCCCAAGCAGTCCGGATTTTTGGACTTCTACTGTATATCTATATACATACACATGAACATTTATCAAAATCAAGCAGGAGCACCAGCTGAAGCAAGTGCTGGCTAAACCAGATGAGTAAGAGTCTAGTCATGGTTACTTCAATTACATGAACCAGACTCTTACCTACCAGCTTTAGCCAGCAAGCAGGAATGTTCACACACACATTTATCAAATAGAATAACCATATCACCATGGTATTGGCTGTAGTAACATTCAGCAACAATAACTCTCATAAACAGTTTAAGCCTGATTCTGGCTTGGAATAAGATTCTGATTTCCATCATCTATTTGCTGCATGTTGGTACAGTATAAACATACTGTATACATGTGGTAGCACACACAAAAAGTAGTGAACAGGAAGGTATATAGCTAACTAACATTTACTAGAATTAAAATTAGCTTTGTCCCAGGCACTGACAAATAATCTTATTTACATACCTTATATATTAATTGCATGAGTTATTGAAACTTGGGTCCATATACTATCCAAATAAAGAGAACTGCCTTAGATATCTAAAGTGCAGAATACAGTACTTAAAAGGACAGGCCATGCTAGGTTATCCATGTTATCATCACAATACTTCTCATTTCAGAACATACATGGTATTTGGACGTTTTATTCGTAACATACAAGAAACTTTATGGCAGAAGAATTCAGTAGTCAATTTATTTGTGTAATAGAGTGACCCCCCCCCCACCCCCGCCAAGTTCGCAGATTTTTACTTTGCGGTTCTCGGTTATTCACGGACGACACCCTGGATGTACCCAAGAGTGTCTGTGGGTAGTTTTAAAGTTGCCGATATTTTTGCGGCTGGGACGGAGCCATTCATCCTAGATACAGTAATTTCCTTTATCTGTATTGTAAATGTGTGTGTGTGTGTATAGACACTCACACAAACAAATAAATAATAATTTGAAAATACTCTCACAAATAATCAGAAACAAATTTAAAAAAATGTGACAGTCTACCCTCAAGTCCGTGCTCTATTACAGTAATTTATTAATAGAGCATGGGCCTTGAGGGTAGACTCACATTTTTAATAAATTTGTTTCTGATTAACTGTGAGAAGATTTTCCAATTGTTATTTATTTGTATGTGTTTTGTGTGTATCTGCACACATATACAGTATTACAAGTAAAAGAAATAATTGTCTTAAGGGCAAACACAAAGGGAATACTGTATACATTTCATTGTACATGTAAATATCCTCCTCAAATGTTATTCACTAATTTGGCGATTCGCAGCCATAATGAGAACCTAATCCCCGCGAATTTTGCCCCCCGCCCCATACATATACCTGTACAGTATAGTAATCTATAAAACTTCAGATTTAACAGAAATTCTATTTAACTTAGTTCTGATCGCCACCTAGGCTTGGAAAAAGATTTTATAAAGAAATTACAGTAACTATGATATACAGTATATTTACACCAAACCTATCTCTGTAATTATAATTACAAACCTTGCCTTCTGCATTTTCTCCCTGATTTTCTTGTGTATAACTCATTCCCAATTCCTGGAGGGACAACCTAATGGCTTGCTGGATTTCATCTTCTTCGCGTACGCCACCAACATCATCCATGCTACGGCGCATCACTTCCTGTAAAGAAAGAAAACATGTTTATATAAGCAAAATCTTCAACGGCATACATTTAAAGAACTGCCAACCCTTTACATTACACTGACACAGCCATTTTTTATTTTTCTAATTCAATAGCCTATTCTAGTTCAAGATGAAAGGAACATACAAGACTTCCAGACTAAATAGGAGACATAACTTTGGGGGGGTGCACTCCCCTACATCCTTGTGTAAGGTGAAGAGCAGAAGCATTTACAGCGCCCAACTGGGAAGCATGCTAAGTTCATGCTTGCCTTTATGTCTCATGAGTTAAGGGCGTAGAAGCCTGAAGAGTCAAACTAGCTTTTCTCTTAACTTAAATGCGGGGATCAGGGCCAAGCTTATGATGTAATCCACCATTTTCTGTCTATCTTTACTAACTCCCGCTTTTCTGTGGTTTAGGATCAAGAGGCACAAAACCTCAACAAATCAGATAATACCAGTAATAGAGTAAAGGTGATACACAAGTGTGGAAATTATCAGGAAAGGCTTAAGAGATTGATTGATTAGGTAAAATATCTGGTGTTGCAGACTGTGGCCATTTGATGCCAAAAGTGAAAGGTTTAAGATAGGTATTAATATCCAAATATACTTGTTCATATCCTCTAGCCACATCTTTAATCCTTGTTTTTTTAGTACAGTATTCAATACAGTATACTGTACAGTATTGTAATGTGGCCAGTTAGAGAATGGAAAAAAAATAGGTTTCCTAACTACAAAACTCGTGTATGGGCTACTAAAATGTAGTAAAATGGTGAACATTCACATTAAAAAAAAAAAAAAAAAACACTTTAATATTTGATGAATAACAGCCAACCATGGCAGATATGAACAAATAGAAATTCATTATGATTCTTTGTCAAGAAGTAAGGTGCAAGAAGTCAGCTTGACCCACATTCACTTCAGATTTATTTGGAGTCATAGATGGAGGAGCAGTTAGTTGTATTGGCAAACTGAGTGCTGACAAGACAGTCAGAACTTAACAAGAAGATCTTTGGCCCCCTAGAGCTGGCATGAAGGAGAGTTATGGTCAACATATCCAAATAGATTAGCTCTGGCTGATTTAAGGGGGCCCTTTCAAAATAAAGTATCCCTTGGCAAATTGCCTTAATTACTAGAGCCACCTAACTTGAGACTGATTGCCAGAAAAAGTATAAGGTGCTTATAAAAACCTACCTGCAGTTCCTCATCTTCTTTATCAGAGGTAGTGGCGGTGAAACTCCCAGAAGGCTTAGCTGGACTAAGAAAGCAAGGGAGCTCTTCTTCATCCTTCTTTCCATCACACATATTCAACTCAGACGACAGATTACGAACAGTTAGGGTCGCCTGCTTTGGTGTCCGAGGTGTGACGTAACTGCAATTCATAAAAAAAAAAAAAAAAATGTTGACCACAGAAAGTTCAGGAACAACTAACACCAAGGTAAGATTTCCTGAACAAAATTTGAAGTGGTAAACTATTGTAAGTTATTAACAAAGATAAAATATAATGTTCAGGTATGACACCTAACATTATGCAGTTTCCCTAATGAAAATTTGCCGACGATACAAATTTCACAAATGCATGAAACAACTCTTCAGGGTTCGAGTGAGATTTTTTTTTATAGAGGACTTATCACCAATTATAGAATGGATATCAAAGTAATATTTTTATTTTGCACTTTGTTTTTGCACTTCATACATTTCACTGTTTCAAATCTCATCCACATTCAAAATACAGACATAAAATAAAATTATTACACACAAAGTTTTTACCTGCCAGTCTGAGGACTCCAGTGAGAAGGTCCACATCCATCACTGGTCAAATATGAATTTAAGCTGAGCCAACGGTTGATACGTACGCGTGATGACATTTTCACACTCTCGTGTTGTTCTGGTTTGTATTCATACCGTTTAAGCTGGATAATAAGTATTCTGAAGAAAAAAATAATTTTTTTTTAAGTTATTAACCAAAATTCAACCACTATAGCAATCAAAACTATGAATAAAGACATGCATTTTGTTAAAAATTCACAGATTTATCACATGCTACAATTCTTACCTGGGCAATCTGGTAACTGAAGTAACAACAGAAGACTGGTTATGACCACACTTTTCACACTTCAGTTCCCTTTCATCTGCACCCATGTATGAGGAAATAGCATCCTGGATTGAATCCTGACCTTCTGGAAGATTCACGTACAGACCAAAATATTCCTGTCTCCTCCCTTCTACTTCATTACACCTGGAGAGAAATATACAAGTTTACTGAAAAAGCAGATAACCACTGTATATTAGCAAAACAAATTAACACCACAGGTGGAAAAGTTGCTTTTCACAGCACAGCCAAGTCCTAAGTACCAATGATCAGGACAACAATAGGAAATGCTCTTACCAATCTTAACTGGAAGTTCTTAATGTGGCACACCATGAGATGAATGTTTGTTAAAATCCAACTCTATTTATCTAAGACTTTGTGTTAACCTCCAAACACATGAGCAGATAGTATAAATTCCTATGTACCCCTTCCAAAATGACAGGAAACAATGTTAAAAGGTTTCTGCAATCAAGACTCCTAGTGCAAGGAAATGTATGTACGGTATGTTATGTAGCTAAAGACAAATTCCGTGCATATGTTCAACTGATACGGAACATGTCTCTCTAAAACAATAAGCTAAATGAAATACAGGTTTATATGTGCTGTATACAGCATATGAAATTTGCAGACCAACGTCAAAAGAATTTTACTTATCTTCCTTTATACTTTAATAGTAAAAACCTTGAAATTGGCACTAAAAATTCTTCATGACGTATAGCAATTAATGTTCCTGAAATTCTATACTGTATCTTCTTCCTATTCCGTTCAAATGATCCTACCAAAAGTGGATTAACAACACATGTATATAAAAAGTATATTCTATCAATCAATCGATTAACCATATTCAATGTAAATTTAGCCTACTGGAGACATCTGGGGGATTCATTAGCCTGCAGAAGACCTGCAACTACACATAATGGCTGCAATGATTTTTTTAGCCCCATTTTTGAAGGAAGGAGAAAAAAAGCCATCTTAGTTACTGTAGAATACAGAAACTAATAAATCCCTTAACCTCAATTGGTGTCAATAATAACAATTGAATAAAAGTTGTATACTGCTATTATGACTAACCAGATCATGTTGTTTGCTCTCAGAAATGATTAACACCGTACTGTAGATAGCACCAATACTTAAGATGACTACCTTCCTTTCACACGAGATTTTATATAGGACTTTAAACCATAACTTCAAATCCAATTTCTCCTTGATCCCCCATCTTAATTTCATGAGGATTAAAGTAGCATGTCAGTGAATGTCCCTTCAAAAAGCGAGTTGATATGAATTGATAACCCTTTAAACTGTTAGCTTTATTCATTAACTTTATCTCTCTGACACACACACACAGTAGCAACAGTATACAGGTGCTCCTCTACTTAAGAAAATTCAACTTACAAACTTTCTGAGATACAAACATCACTAAGGGGGGGTTACCTGCCAGAACAGGTGTTTAATGTGACTGGATTATTTTTAAGAAAATTCCAGAAAGAACAAATATTACCTGAGGAGAAGAGTGAGCCAGGTTTTAAGGCTGTATTAAAGGGTATAGCTGTACTAAATATATGCAATCTTTTCATTTTTTTACAATATGTTTAGTATCTACAGGAGTAAAGTTGGACTTACAAACAAGTCTCAGGAACGTAACTCGTTCGTAAGTAGAGGAGCACGTGTATACTTATTTTTTTCAACAACCAAGTGCAAAATTGATTTGGCATATCCTAAATGTTGTTGCTAGATCTCCAACATGCAAATGTAATGCAGTACACAGGATGACTGATGCAGTTAGTGAAGGTAAAAGACAAACACTTTTCTAAACTTAACTTACCACGGTAAACAATAAATAAATAAAACACCTGTATCTTACCCTAAACATCTGTAGGACTCCAGCAGTTGAAATTCAAAGTTATCCTTCACGGGATTTCTAGGCATTATTTCTTCCTCACAGGTTTTTCTAGGTGTAACTTCCTGTGCATTAACTGTGCATCTTGGATCAACAGCAATTTCTCTTCCTACTAATTTTTTGCCATTTGTGTAGGAGTATGTGGATTTACATTTACTATTTTCAACTTCTGCGTCTATGACCTTAATACCTGTAATGTCCTTCTCATTCATATAACGGACGTTTGTCTCCGGAACATTAATCACTTCATTATCTGTGATGTCATCGCCAATATCACCGTCTGCACCTTTCGAAGGTTCTGGTGAGCTGGATAAACTTAATACATTCATCGGAGCACCACTAAGGCAAATATCTTCATCGACATCTATTTTTGCAGTGTTAACAAGCGCCCGAGAGCTTACTGGGCGGTCAGGGCTGGGAGTGGTCATGTGGCAACGGTCGATCTCATCTTTTATGGTGTCAAGTACCCGGGTCAGGAACTCATTTGCATCCTGCATCTTAAAACCAGAAAAAGAGCCATCGACTCGCTCAAGATTCTCCTTAATAGTCCTGTTGTGAATAAATGTAAAATGGTTACACCACTGATAATGTACAGCAAAATTAAAAAAAAATGGTACAGGGGGTCCTCATTATACATCAGGTATGTTTTCCAGAGAAAAACGACTTATAGTTAAGCATTTTATAAAGAGGAATTTTCCTCCTTTAAGAATTAATGTAATTAAGGGTATATACATTTCAACATGTACAGTAATACCCCATGAAAGCTCAGCAAATCAGCTTACAATGGGGTCATTATAACATACAGTATTGTACTGTAGTATTTGATATGATATATTCCTAAGTGAATTTGGAAATATGGGGGAAAAGTGTATATGTATGTGTGTGAGTGTGTAAATGATGAGAAAACATGGTGTCAAGTACTTTAAGGGGAGGGTAGTTCTGTAGTATTCCAAAGAAAAAACAACAGCCAAATATGGTTGGTACTTCAGTCTAAAACCCCAGCAAAACACAACTGGAGGGGCCTAAATTAAACATACAAGTAGCTACTATTACAGGGTGTCTATTGGCCAGACAAAACAAAATTCCTTGGCTTTCCAGGAGTAAATTTGAAAAATTTCAGGTTCATTAATTCGGTATTTATTATGACTGAATAACAAAATTGGAGGTTTTCAATATGTAGACAAGCTAAAACAACTACAGTATCTGTGCAGGTGGGGGCCGATATGCTCCAAAATTTTACGTGTGACTAGTGACAGCCCTCATGTACCAAAATTTATCGTCCATGGTCTCTATTGTTTCCCACAAAGTATGCACAGATAGTTGTTTTAGTTACTGTACATACTATTGGGAATTTAAAGATGATATAAATGATATTAATCAAGAAACTGAAGACCCTCTTGCGACCCACCCCAAGCCTAGTGAAGAACCTCGGCAAAGACCTTGATACCCCCCTCCATATTTTTCTCCTCGGATTTGTGCGATTCACGTAGGTCGACCTGGACGTGGTGTACAAAAAAAAAAAAAAAAAAAAAACCTGATCCACCAATACAGGGGGTCCTCACTTAACGTCGGGGTTACGTTCCCAAAAATGTGATGTTATATGAAACGGTGTTAAGCGGATCAATTTTCCCCATAAAAAATAGATAAAATACAGGAGTTACATTCCTGAGCCTCCCTTTGCCCCATGAAATACATTGCATATACAGAAAATCATAGCCATTTCTTTAGAAAATAGTAAATACATATACAACTACAGTGGTCCCTAAATTAACGAACGGTTCGATCAACGAAATTTCAGTTAACGTATTACCTCCCATAAGGATCTTCAATTCGGTTAACAAAATCCTTACATGTAACACGTTTTGTTGTGAGCATCAGCTGATGGGCTAGTCTGCCAATTCAGTAATCTGTTCAATGTTTACATTCATTTCCAGTGGAGTAATATCAAGAGTTATGCTCTTTAATATGTTTGCATTTTTTATACTGTATTAAAATTATTAGTCATTTTAAAATTTAGTTAACATACTGATAATATATGCAGTACAGGGAACTAGTTTTTTGTGCACCCACCAGCCGCTTGACTCAGACACCAGGAGTCAGTTTGGCTTTATTGACAGTGGAGAGAACATCGATTTTGTTGGTGTCTTGAATATTTTTGCATTTTTACATTGAAATTATTGGTCATTCTGAAATTTAGTTAACATATTGATAATATATAGCGCAGTGCAGTGTTGATTTAAATAAAATAATCTTGAATTACACCTAGTGAACTTCAAATTTTACTGCATCAAGCATGGGTCCCCTGAAAGGTGATTTCTCCTCCATCCCCACTTCCTTCTCTTCTCCCTTCTCCTCCACCCCCACTTCTAAATCCCATCATCATCAACCAGGAACCTTCTACATACACACCTCAAAGTAGGTGTACTTTACTGCAAATTTATTTATTTTTACTTTCTATGTACTTTTCTGTGAGCTGGAACCAATTACTCAATATCCCATTGAAACGATGAATTCGGTTAACGAACGACTCTGTGGAACGAATTGTGTTCGTTAACTGAGGGACCACTGTACTAAGTTTGTATTGGTACTCACTGATGGGAAGAGGTGGTAGAGCGAGTGTGTGGTGGGTAGTGAAGTAGAGGAGGTGGATGGTGGGAGGGGAGGAGTGTGGTGGGAGCAGAGGAGGGTGGTGAGTCACTGAATCTGCGTCGAGCCGAGAGAGGGTGATACGCCATAGAAAGTAGTCCATGATGAAGCAAAACAACGTAGTATCGGATCACCAGGACGTAAAAAAGTTTTTGGTCTTTAAAGTTTAGCGACATAATACTGAATCAACGTTAAGCGCAGACTACCTGTATGCCTCATGATTAATATGTGGAATAATCCACTTAAATCAAGTCACTTAATTATAAGAACAATTCCTCTCTGGCAATACTCATTGCAGAATTAGTATATATAACCTGTAATATTTGGTTATTTGATCGCTAACATGAAATATGACAGGTACACAAACAATTCAATTATTGGAGTGGACTATTAACTGGAATTTGTTCCTATAAGTTTAATTATATATCTATTATACAGTACAGCATTAATTTATGGTAAGAGTGCTGTCAAAATAACAATATTTTTAAGTTGAACCGAATTCACATAAAATTCCAGGTATATTTGTAAAATTCCCTGCCTTTTCCAGGTCAGTAGACACCCTGTATTAGTGTTAATAAAATCACTATGTATTAATACTGATATTTATAATTATTTAATAATGAAGTCATTCTCACTTGAGTGACTGCTTAACTCCAGAAACTTGGCCCTTCATCCTGTTGGAGAGAACTTGACTCAGGCCAAATGACAGTGATGTATGAGGCATGCTAAGCTGGGAAGCCACAACCTTGTAGTCACCCAAGAAAGCCGGTAAGCCAAACAGAGATTGAATGACCGAGTTCAGGTAGCAGGTATTGCCATAGTTGGGAAACCTGAAAGAATTAAAAAAATTAATTTCATTTAACAATATAAATTATGAACAGGGTGCTCCACAGCTCAAAATTATGTGTTATTGGCAAAATAACATGGCTACTTATATACAGTAGATGCAGAGATGTTCCCTCTTCCACACAAAGTATAAAAACTCGAGAACTTGGTTATACAATTGCATACAAACATGAAGTGAAAATTTTTCATAAGAATGACCCAAAGCTATCAGCAGATGAAGATAATGCCTTCTTACTACAGATACAGTACAATGGACTCTGCTTATCCTCAAGAACTTAGTAGCAAGGGTAGTGAAAAATATAGGTACCAACCACTTAATGTGGTTGGCTACAAAATGTTTATCTGTAAGTTGTGAAGAATAAGAACACTAATTGGGCAATAACACTTAACATAAAATCCTATTCAAATCAATCTGCAGCTGGGTACTCAGCAAGAAAGTAAAACTCCAAACTTGGATAGGGATGGAAAGAAAATTCTCCACAACATATATGATGCAGACACTTCAGACAAGTAAGATTCTTAAGCTAATAACAACAGATCTACATTATTATAGCAGAGGAAAATCTGAAGGTTTAAAGGATGAGCAACAAGACACACAACCTCTAAAGCTACTCATCTTAACCCTCTCAGCCTCGCAAGATGCTGTTGTGGCGTCGAACACAAAATAACTTACGCTCAGCCTCGCGACGCCAATGGGCTATATTTTCAAATATCTCAAAACTATTCAGTGAAACTGACTGAACTTTGGATGCCATTTGACAGAAGTCATTTTCTTTGTATGGGCCTTAACACCTTCCCCAAGATAGTATTGGTCATCGTGTGAGTGGCAGCGCAGCACGAAGTCAGTGTCGCTCTGGCCATCAGAGTGAGAGGAGGGTGCGCCGCTCGGCCCTTTAATTATTCCATGAGTTTTTGTGGTATATATTTTTCCTTATACTGTACTACAATATTCTATATGCTTTGTTCTTTATTTTGGTATACAGGGTATAGTACATATCAATAAACACCATAATACAAGCAAAATATGAATGGAAATCGAGATGTTACTTAACATTTTTCTACCTTTTCAACTTGTACTCGAAAAGTGACTTAAATTTCAAGAATTTTCATTTTTTTTTATGGTTTCATAGAATTTTCAGACAATTTTATGCTAGTAGAGACCCCACTGCAAGTAATAAAACAATTCCATGAGTGCCCCCCCCCCTCCAATATATATTTTTTTCAATGATCTTTGCCAAAAACCTCTGAGGTTGAGTGTAAGTTTTCATGCACGTATGTGTCTCAGGCTCCGAGGTTGAGAGGGTTAAGGACGATGTATTTTGGATAATATTCTAATGCTTTTTGACAGCATCATGCTTACTTACCCAATGAGATGTGGCGAGGTAATTTCTTCCGCAAGTTCTCCTTTAATATCTGTTGGTATATTTTCCTTTTCGGCTTCAGATGAAAGTTTGGACCCATAAGCCCTTTCAACTTTCTCTGGAGAAATATCAGAAACAAGCCTTGACTTAGACAAGTTCAACGATTTCTTTTTCGTATATACTTTGACTGAGCTGTTTTTATGAGGTCCAAAAAATAAGTTCTCCTTCCCAGAAGTTTTGTTCTTCCTGTCAAATATTTCACAATCACTATCCGAGAGGGTATTCGAAGAGTCAAGAGGATTGTTGGTTTTGCTTCCAATCTCAGAGACTTCACTATCACTGTCTGTAAAAACACGGTAAGGATCATCTAAATTCTCTTTCCCATTAATAGCACTAAATGGCCGTTTAATGGCTTGAGGAGTTCCTTTTTTACTTAACCACTTTCCCAAGGTCTGTCCATCACCATGCTGTGTTTGAGGCTTAGATGAAATGTTCACTATCTTGTCAGTTCGTGACAAAAATCTTTTTTGCAAACTGGTCCTAGGTGGGGTAACAAGTGATGACCGTGGAGTACTGCCATTTCCAGTTCTTTTCTTGTATCTTTTTATGTAAGTACGGCCCCCAGTGGAGTAAGGATTATGACGGAGAGGGCCTGGATAAAAAAATAAAATAATAATAATTAGTTTTATTAAACTCGGGCACTGTTCTTTCAAAGTTAATTTCACTTAAAAAATTCCCTTAAACAATTTCAAAACATAGTTTTATTAGCCATACCGGTAAACACATTATTTAACACCAGAAAATAAAGGGGTAATTTCCAAGAAAAAGTGAGGAAGACAATCCCATCTTTTTGGTTCATATTAAACACAGAAGGAACAACCCCACCCCCCCCACCAAAAAAAAAAAAAAAAAAAAAATCTGGGGCATTTGAAAGTGTGTAGGCACAAACAGAACAGCAAGAAAAGTGTAAATGAAATAAAGATGAACAAAGGGAACCCAAATGTCTTGGTTTTGTGTGAAATAAAGTTGAAGGGTAAAGGAGAAAGATGGTGTACACGTGAAGGGTCAGGTCAGGAGGACATGAAAGGGTTAAACGATGTGGTGTAGGGGTGATAAAATAGGTTATTGTGGCTTAAATTAAGTGTGATATGAGATATGCATCTTTGTAAATGCTTACATGTCAAAGAGTACGAAAATGGAGAAAGAATGAAGTTTCAAGAAAACCTGAATACTGTACCTACATTGAAAGCTTTGTGAGGGAGAGTGATATTGATGGGAGACGTGTAGAAGTGGGTGAACATAGACCAGCTTTAGAAGTACCCCTGCACAAAAAGTTATCAGGTTTTAAAATTTCATACTGCTAAAGAATACTGGTATATCACTGTGATCTAAAACAATGGTGAATTACCTGAGCCAAAGTTAGGTTGTTTTTTAGGCGTAAATTCCATCTTTCAAATTTCTAAAACTGCAACAGCAACAGAATCTGCAAGTAATGAGATAGAAGTCTTAGAATTCAGTAGCCTTATTACAGTACAGGTAACAAGGTGTTCATTTGCTATAGCAAAGGTTTTTAAAATAATGAACGCCAGCTTCCGCAACACACGTCGTCTCTCACTCACTCCTGTCACCGCAACACACACGGCATTACATTTTGTTTTATCCTTTTACCATGTGGAGGAGTTTTTTTAATGCAGTTCCCAAGGAACTTACAACTGAAGACCCGGTTCACATAAATAAGTGAAGGTAGCAAGAAGTAGCACACTCATACTATACACATGAAGGCAGGACTCAGACTGAGACACCTGCCGCATGACACTCGCATTGTTCAACCGGATGTATGAACAAAAAAAAATAAAAAAAAATAAACTGTTCGGACTGATGCTGGATTTTCCGGAAAAGGGTGAATAACAGTTTACAGTACGCAGTTAAGTCCTGTCTATCGAGATTTTGCTGTACCGCAAATCTATCTCATTCTGTTTTGAAATCGAAGAAAATACTGAATGTCTAAAGTTTAAAAAAAATAAATAAATAAAATAAAAAAATCTACATTAACACATGGATGAATTTTGAATCTCATGATAATCTTGCTAAAATGCATGAGACTTTATAAGATCAACAGATACCCCTGACCTTACATGCACGCGATCTATTAACTCAGATTAAAGTAAGTTTTCCAATTTTTTGTGACTTTCTGACACCAAATACTAGTCGAGAAGTGATTGGCAGTCCGATTTACTCATCTAGGACCATTATTTGACTTCATTCCGGCTATGTTTGGGTACATTTGGGTAATTAGTCGGACCCTACCAGGCCTGATATAACCTAACCTAAAATACCATTAATTTCTTATTTTACTATTCTACAAATAAGAGTTTTAGTCTAAACGTGGCACTCCACCAACCTCGTATGTTAAAAACAAAAATCTCACAAAATGCATTATGTTTGCATTTATTGTCAGTTTCTCAAGGCACAGTAAGAAAGCTTTTATCTTCCATGGAGAAATTCCGTCCGGTAGCTGCTGAGGCCTGACCACTCTCCAGATATTAACCAAAATATTTAAGAACATGACACTTCCTAAGCCCCTAAAATGTTAATTTTTTGGATCATTGAGCAACAATTCAGTAATTACATAGGACTAACCCACAGGCGAAATTGATTGAAAACAATTATAAAAACGTCGGATTTTCATTGTTGGAGATTGTTGTAGTTTGTGGAAATGTTAAAAAATGGGGTTAATATATAGGACTAACCTGTAAGTTCTTTCTGTTTAATATACCGGGGAAGTTAGGTAAGGTTGGGTAGGTTTGTTTGGTTTGGCATCGGCGGGTTAGTCTTATATATTAACCATAACTTCAATCTGAATATGCAGTGGTGAATAACCGCATCATATGGCTGACTAATGGTCCAATACGTATGTGGGCGGCGATGTGACCTGTTCCCCATTATAACCACTTAAGCACTTATTCTTATATAAAGAAATTCTAAGATTATCGTTTTGGTCTTTACCACTTCCCCCTTGACACGTAAACAACACTGAGATATTAAATACCACTGGCCCTGAGATTGTGCAACCCCTTGTGATAAGCATGTCTCTTGGGTACACAAGGACAAGCATTTTGCTGAAGCACGCACTTAAAACTGTTGACTGCAGCTGAATATCGATAGAACTATACCAACCAACAACAAAACCTTTAAAATTATGAAACTCACTTTTAAAATACAGTATAAAAACCAACCTGGGCTCTCTTCAGAAGATAAAAACCATTGTGGAGTAAGAGACGCAGATGCACCCGACTCTGACAGCCACGCTCACCCAGAAAGCGCGGGAAGAGTGATGTTGTGAGAGTCTTCCCCACACATGACGCTCCTCCTTCACCTCAGAGTAGTCGTTTAGCAATAAAAAATAGAAACAACACATGAGTCAACACAAGATAAGGATAGAAATAAAATATACAATGAAATAAATACTTTAATATCTTAAAGATTTATATACAGATTTATCTAAATTAGAAGAAGGATCCAAATCTTTGACATGCATTGGCATATGGGGGAACTTATGCAGATTTTTTCTTTTCAATTTTCATTGTTTTAATATTGAAAAAAGTCAACTTTATATTCTTAAATTAACAATTTTATCCACTGATCAACTTGTTAGCCAATTGGGCGGTCGGTAGCATATGTTGCGCATTGTAGGTCATTTGCCTCACAAGGGATTAATAGTTATCGTTACTCTGGCATACCGTGCTGTACTTCCCGCTTTGCTTTCCTTCTCAAATAATAATATCCAGATTATAGCATTAACAGTAAAACTAAGTATCGGGACATTCAAATCTTCCTATTAATTTCTATTTAATTATATATGAGATTATAACTCGAATGACAAATTCTTCTGTTTTTTTTGTGTCAATTATTTTAAATGGCCAAGAAAATTTTACATTGCAAATTTATATGGTACAATATTACATTAAAACTAGGTCGGTATTTTTTTATGCAATAGAATATGTTATAAATATCTAACATTTATATACATATTTACGGAACTGAGTTTTAAGATGGTTCAAGCAGATGCTCCGTCAACAAACACAGCTCAAACATATCTCATACAATTCTTAAACTTCACCATCATGTCGATGTCTTTCATTGAGTTTGAAAGCTCAAGGGAAAAGGATAAGAAACGCCAGTGGGAAAGAGAGGCAAGACAATCAATCTTAGACAAGGTAAAGAAAGTGTTCTGTGGTTACTAAAGCTCAATAAAGAATATGGTAAAATTTTAGTTTCGGTCATTCCAGTATTAAGACATCTAACCTTATGTGACCTAACCTAACCTAACCTAACCACAGAACCCAGGGACTATATCTAACCTAACTGTTGGACTTCACCCCAGACCTAATGATTAGAATAGTTAAATTTCTAAGATTCCGTGGATGACCGAAACTAAAATAGTATCAAGAAATACTAAAGGTTTTAGGAAGAGGAACGTTGTTTTTCATTGTTATTTGAACGAATATCACATCTATTAGGTAAAATTTCAGTTGTTGCCACTCAAATAATTTTATGGTTGCAATGACTAGTTTAACATAGGCATTTCTAAGACACTTTTCTTCTTTGACATTTCTCTCGCAAATGACTTAACCTAACCTAATCTCCTAACCTGGGGGGCTCCCCCCCCCCTGAACCCTCCAGTATACTGTATGTAAGTCGTATGTGCAGGAAACATCACAGAAGAAAAGTGGCTTAGAATTGTCTAAACTATTGATTGCACCCATAAATTTATCAAAATTCTTTGGGTAGCAACAAGTGAACTACTCTAATACCCTTAATTTTGGGGGCTAATTCTTATTTTTTTAAGACATTACCATGATTTGCACAAAATGGACAGGGCGTTGAAGATGAGGTTAAACATGGGGTTAAAATATAATATAAAACAAACAAACAAACCTCTGAAAACTTGACCAAACCTTTCTTAATCTTATCTTAATTAGTCGATGTCAAAGGAAAAAGTGATTCTCTTCTTGTTTTTGGTGTTTAGGTCATGAGGGAGCCATAACTTGAATGAATACCTACCTAACTAATGTACTGTAAAATATTACCAAACTACAGACACTCCTCCGGGTTAAGGATGAGTTCCATTTTTGGAGGATATCTGTAAGCCAGAAGTGACTCCTTCCATAGGTAATCACTCAACTCCCTTAGGCCACGTAATGTATATACAATTACTATACAGTTATGGGACTATTTTCTGGCATGATTGGACCCTGAAGTACTGTAATTTAGAGCCTAACACATTTAAAAATTCATGAACTATGGTACAACTTTGGTACATTACCTGAGGGACCATATTCATATAAGCAAGTTATGCTTTAATTTACAGTACTGTAGTGACAAAGCGGCGTAAGAATAGAATGTTCGTATAAGTGAATATTCGTATAGCAAGAGATACCTGTATACTATATTTCCATGAATTGCAATCTAAGCTCACTTTATTTTGCTTAAACTTTCAGGCAAAGAGTACATATGAGGCCAAAGAAAGGAAAGAAGAAGCAGCTCGTCAGCGAGGTGAGCACTTGTGGATGTTGTCATCTGTAGAATCTAAACTTCATTCTCATAAGGAAGATAAGAAGAAAAAGAAAAAGGACAAGAAAAAGAAGAAAGAAAAGAAATCAAAGAAAAGCAAGAGAAATGACTCCTCTCCATCTGCAGTAAGTGGCAGTTACTCAGTAGTATGGTCAAGGGGTAACCAGAGGCTGTATCATTTTGTTTTATTTTTAGCTATGGTATACAGTACACAATAAATATATAAGTTTGGTCCCCCACTTTGAAAAAATATATATACTTTTGGTTATTGTGTAGTGTGGTACAGTCATCATGTCAGTGTATATAGAGTACTGTACCATAACATATATATTTTTTTTACAGAAAAAAAGAACTAATCAGTTTTTCTCATGTAACAGAGCAGTGACAGCGATGCTGAGAAGGGGATGTGGGTGGAAAAGTCAGCATCCTGTGTTCCTAAAACTGTGGAAACAATCAATGCTTCAGAACCAGGTACCTCACAAGCAAGGGTACAAGATGAAGATTCCAAAACAGTACAAACAAAGCGTGACAGCTGGATGGAGGTATTGCATTTTTTACTGTATCTTCTGTTATAAGCAAATACAGTACCTTTTTTATTATAGTATACAGTGTGTGTGTGTGTATATATATATATATATATATATATATATATATATATATATATATATATATATATATATATATATATATATATATATATATATATATATATATATATATATATATATATATATATATATTCCTCAATCTGCTCTGGGAATGAATTTCAGAAGGTTTAGTGTATGTTTTAATAATTTATCAGATGGTATTTCTTGTAGTGTGACAATCAGTGCAAAAGGGTTCGAATTCAGAGGTTAAGAAAACCAGTAAGTGTGTGCCCCTGGCTCTCCTCCCCTCCACATTTAGACTTTTGCATCTCTTGATCCAGTTGTTCTGAACCATTCCCTCCTTATAGCCAAACCATCTCAGCTTACCTCTAGACAAAACTGTGCCAATGTGTTTTAGTACCGATATGTATAGTTGCAGGATAGCAAAACTTCTGTCTATGGTAGTGCATTTTTTCAAATGAACATGGAGATAATTATAATACAATTTGTAAATAAAAAAATTAAGAGATCCATATCTTATTCAGTACACTGTACTGTAATGCCCTGGACTCCCACCACATAAGACATGAGCCTTATCCTGCAGCCTGGTAGAGTTTGTAGGGTGTTATGGTCTATGATGTACAGAGAGAAAGTCAGTCTCTAATGTCAAAATTTCAGACTAAGCCACTAAAGTATTCTTGTTACCTGGGGTTTACTTCCTACAAATATAGGAAAATAGCATAAAAATTGATGATGCTCTTGTAAACTTAACAAAAGCTTTGCTAAAATTGCTTTATAGTTGTTCATGATGGCATTATAACTAAAAAATATACTGTACAAACATATACAATAGAGATTCTGGAATTTTTAGTAATATTTAATTCTTCACAGATGACCTCCCTTTTTGGAACATACTCTCGTGATGAAATAAGGGAACGTGAAGGCACTAGTAGAAAGAAGGCCAAGGAAGAAGAAGAAAGAAGGAAACGTGAAGCTGCAAAGGTAAAAACATTGAAGACAACGACAAAGTTAAATGGCCTTTGTAATTTACACCCATAGGTTTTAAGCCTGATAATAGTAGTGTATTATTGTGTAAAAAAAAAAAGCCATGAAACATGCAACCACTTTTCCAAACTTTGATTTTCATAAATTAAAAATGTTTTGAAAAAATGATTGCTATTTGCTCCAACTCCCCAGAGGGAAAGATATGAGAAAAGTTCCCCTTATTAGAAGTGATAAACAGCCATTGATTTCACCTTAGGCAAGATGAAACCTTGTAATGTATATGAGATATGTGTGCTGAGTACAGTGCAGTATTTACAATACTATACATTGTTTTGATTTTTTTCACAGCCTGGATCCCATGCTCTGGAGCTGAACCCTTTTTATAAAAATGGAGGAACAGGCCTACCGGAAGAACAGAAAAAAGAGCACATGAAACCAGAGCCATCATCAATAGGACTAGATGCTGCTTGGTTACGAAAGGCTTTGAAGCGAGCAGAAGAACAAGCTAAGCTGGAGAAAAGATCACTCGAAGAGATAGCGGCTCAACGATGGGGGGTAATGATGTACTTAAAAATTTTATTTAAGATATTTTTAACTTCTTTCAAAATAATGAAATCTTTTCTTGTATATACTATAGAATATTTGATTGTATGAGTATTTTTTTTATATAATTACAGTCTCTTGCAAAGTTTCATGAGCTATTAGCTGAAGCTGAAGGAAGAGGAAAGAAGAAACAGGGAGACAGTTGGCAGAGGAAACAGAGAATAATTGGAGATCACAATAAAAGCAGAGAAAGGAATCGAAGCAGAGAAGAGAATTATGATAGAAGCGGAGAGAGAAACAGAAGCACAAGTAGTGAAAGGAAAATCAGTATCAAGAGAGACAAGTTAAGAAGCAGAAGTAGAGACAGAAACATATATAATGAAGACTGCAATAGAAAGTATAGAAGAAGTAGAAGTCAGGAGAGGAGAGGGCACAGAAGATACAGTAGTAGCAGCAGTAGCAGTGGGAGAAGCAGCAGAAGTGGCAGTAGACATTGTAGCAGAGATAATGATAAACAGGATAAACAATCAAAACATGAAGACCACAGGTAGGGTAATTTTTATCATAATTGTATTTTTTGAACCATAGTTATGACTTTCTCTTCATCCACCCTTTTCTGCATACTGATGGAAAACTCACAAAAACTGAAGCCTGTCCCTGTTATGGTGGATCCTTCCCAGTGAAAGCAGGATGTTAGGGATCTGGTGGAAAGAGTATGCAAAGAAATCCATTGAATTTAATTGGAGTTTCACTTGGTCTCTCTTTCCATCAGAAAATGTGCATTGCTAGAGTGGGTCAGTGTGGGCACAGTGGTAATATGGTCTCTGTGGAGGAATATAAGAAGCCAATACTATGGAAGTCATAAAGTAAGGATCCACAAAATGGTGAACCTCATAGATAAGCCAACCACATTACTGGAATAATATCTGTATTTCCTGTTGCTACATTAACCACTAGCCTGGAATGACTTATTACAGTATACATGAGGTTTGATTGGATGACTCTGTGTCATGCTTTCTTTGTCAGGATATTTATAAAACATTTGCTCTTAATCATAAAATATTGGATGTATGGTCGGACATTATTTAATAGAAACATAAACTACCAATGTAACACTGTACCATCAAGAGGTTCATACCTGACTGTACTATGTTACCAGCCTACTATTATAACCCCTGTTATGAAAGGTTGAGTTGATGTCACGTAAATGTATGGAAGGAATCGGTGAGTTAGGTTAGAAAAATTAATCAAAAGTACTGTGTATATTTTGTGGAAAAATAGGACTTAAATGTACAGTAGGAGGCAAAAATAATATGGCAATGTAGAAAGAAGATTTGTATCACTTAAGGAAGGTGTACAATACTGTATTTAGGAAGTCTTAAATTAACTATTGATATACAGTGAGAAGTGATTCAGAAGTTATTGATTATTTTGTATTAAATAAAACCTTTTGCTTGAAGTAATAACGCCACTGCCTGTATAGTAACTGAACATCTCAGACCTGGTAGTTGTACTTTCATGTGTAAAAACTTTCCATGTTATGTGACTTACAGGTCTGAAAAGGGGCTTCCGAGACCTCCAGATGATGACTATCCTACAAAACAGCCTTCATTCTTATCATCAAAATTCCGAAGACCAGGAGAAGAGGACAGTGGAAGGTAAAATGTAACAACTTTATTGTAATGTAAAGAAAATAAGAATTCTGTGTCATACATTGGGTTAACTCTGTAATTTGCTTTCATAAGTGAATGTAATTGATGGTACAAGACAAGGGAAGATGATTGTTGATTAATTTTTTTCAAGACAAGCTCAGTAAAATAGGCAAAGAGGCACTTTTCAAAATTTAAATGTGAAAATCTAATCCTGTTGAATGCCAGTACAGTACTCATCAGGAAAGTGGAATACTGATGTAACAAATTAACTTCATTATCCACAACATTCTGCCAGTAGCTGTACCTGGTGGAGGAGTGAGGGGGGTTCTCTCTAGTACAATATAACCATATGTACTAGGATTGGCCGTGCTCCTGAGCCAGAAACCAATTACAGCTCCAGACTTCGGAGCACTCCAATAAGTCCTGCTTCCAGCTCCAATGCACAGTTAAAGAAATTGGCTAGTTCTGCAGCTTTAGTCAGGCTCTGGCTCCTGGAGGTAGCTCTTAGCTTTGAAACACTGCCAACCCTAATGTATACTTCTGGAAAGGAGTCTGTCTTATTTGATGTGACCATTATAATTATCGTCCCCAAATTTCTATCACTTACACATGCTGTTATGTTTATGGGTTGTTTCATGCACAGTACCGCAGTTGGATTGAGTGGTTTTTCAATGCAGTACTTACTGGTAAAACACGTTAGCGATAACTTGTTGTTGCACTTACTCTGCTATCAAAGGGTTCTACTGTAGGATATAAAAAGATCATCTGCGATACGATACAGACAGATCCTAATTCGATGCTTCTAAACACACAGATCTACCAGTGACACGAGTACGAGAAAAATTTTCAGTAATCGTAGATGGCAGAAGAAAGACTATAAAAATCAATTATTGGAACAAGAAACACAGTCACATCAGAATTCATCAACTTCGTCATCGTCATCTTCAGAATCAAGTGATGTAGAAGAAGTACCAGTACCGGTAAGTATGTCTGGGGTTCATCTTATTTCGGATATAAATTTTTTCCATACACATACCGTTATTTGACACATATGAGCAACATATTTTTTTTTCCTAAAATTTTCAGCAAAAGGCTGACTATCATATACAAATTTTAGCAAAAATACCCATAAGTATTATCATAATTCTAACTTTTTTGCTTGGCTTCATACAGTAGAGCTGTTCATTATCCACAAACCAAAAACATTCTAATATCTTTGTGTTATACTGTAATAGCTTACTAAAGTTATGTTAAGATTAAATATAAAGGATATCTGTGAATAAACATTTATTAAACAAATAATAAAAGATCCAGTATCACTAACTAAACAGTGAATATCCAGAATAGTGGAAAAGGTCCCCGCCCAGCCTGATCACCACACTATGAGCTGTGCCATATAATTATTGGCTCTCTAATTTTCTTTAATAAGCATCACTTAATTAAAACTAAAGACTCGCAGACTAACCAAGTAGTGTATGTCTAAAGGCACATCATTTTCCTCTGCAAAGTCACTATCAAGGTCACTCTCCTCCCTAGCCTGTCTCTCCTCTACCCTGTCCCTCTCCAGACTTCCTGAATTTTCACATCTAAACTGATGGAAAGATGGGAGTTCTTAGGTACAGTACCACCGCGACTGTTTCCAGGTATGGTGATTTTTTATATTTTATATTAATGATAGACTCAAAAACAATTCATGGTGCAGCACCAGTTGCTGTCACAAAGGCAGAAAGCGTGATACTGAATTTGGGTGGGCTGGGAACGTGTGGGTGAAGCGGGCACCACATTGGTGCACACGAGATTCAAAATGACTCTACAGTATATCAGTCTTCAGCAACTTATATTAAAATATTGTTTCCTTAATTATTAAATGACTTTATATCAAAATGATGCTGTTTGGCACGACGTAGATCAGTGAATGTCTACACTGTACCTTGTAACTTTATGATCTGTTTTTTGAGGGTCAGAACTTATGGTTTTACAATTAATTTTAATATTTTCAAATTTTTTCCCCAGGAGCCATCAGCAAATAAAGATATGATTTCTGGAAAAGAAGCATCACATTCTGCTGCTGGTGCTCCATCTCAGCCACCCGTCACATTACTTACAGATAAAGAAATGAATGAACTTGCAGCAAAGGTCATGAAAGCAGAACTTGTTGGAAATGATGTAAGTTTTAATAAATTTGTTAAGAGAACAGCAGTTTTTTTTATGGAAATTGCATGTTTGGTGAATAAAATTTAGTTTGGGAATTTTTCTTCCTTTGGTGTATGCAACATTTGATCATTTTCCATACATAAATAACTGATCCCTCTTCCAGCCCCAAACTGTATCGCTTCATTCTGCAGGAAACTAGATTATTTTTATTAAAACAATTAGTATGCCTTTATAAGAGATTTGATAGTAGAGAATGTTAGATGTGGCTGTATTCAGTACTGTACTGTCAAATCAATACTGTAAAATGAACATTTATTTTTCTCTTCTGCTTCAAAGACTCAAGTCAGTAAGTTGAAAGCAAAATTGGAAGCTGCCAGGGCTGCTCGGGCCAAAACTCCAGCACTTGGGGAGGACAATAATGAAAGTGGAGACCAGAAAACAGAGGAAGTGATTGTCCTAACCAGGATGGATAAAAAAGGTGAGAATCTATATAATCAGGATATTTAGATGTGATAATCCGTTGTTCAAAATGAGCACTCTATTGGCTATATATAATGTTTCAGTGTACTATACTTTTATTAGTACAGTCTATTATTTAGAGGGCATCTTGACCCTACACCAGTTTCTCATCTTAATTCTGAAGTATTCAGTTTTCTAAATTCCTTAAACACTATGAGATATATACAGTCTACAGTGCTGTCATAGGCGTACTGAAGGGGGGCGCCAGGGGTGATCCCCCAAAGAAGGGATCAACGGGGACAATCCCCCTCTTGAGCTACTAAATTATTCCAGATAAAAAAAAATTAAAAATAATAAAAGAAAAAATAATAACTAACAAAATAAATACAAATAATAGCATTTTCTAATTGAATGGTAAGCTCATCATGAATGTTCAGAAAAAATATTAATTACAGTATCTTGCATTTCAACAATACCTCTGTATATATATATATATATATATATATATATATATATATATATATATATATATATATATATATATATATATATATATATATATATATATATATATATATATATATATATATATATATATATATATATATATATATATATATATATATATACAGTATTACCCGCCTTGGTTTTCACTTAGCTTTTATCATATGATTGCCTACGTGAAATGAACTTTCATAACACGGATTTTTTCCACATACCGGTGAGTGTCGGCTCAAACCGCTATTTTTTATTTGCCCCACCCACCACCTGCCTGACTGCCTGTTTTAACCAAAAAAATTCATACAAATTGGAATATAATTTACATTGCTGGAATTCTTTTAATTTGATGATCATTTGAATATAAACATCATATATTTTGCATTGAACATACAAATTTTAGATAAAATGTTTACTCTTGAGTAAATATGTTATCTTTATGCAAAATAAGACATTTATATTCAAAATATTCCTAGTCTTACAAGGAATCCAGCAATGTCAATTATATTATCCTAACTTTAGTTTGAGGTATTATTTATTACAAAAAGTTAAGTATTCTGGTTTTCCACACATCTCCTTGGGATGGTTGGTGGGGAGAGGAAGCCGACCATCTGTTACCCTATGAAGAATATTTTTTTTTTATTAACTGAAGATATTTGTTTAGCTCATAAATTTCATACAAATTACCGGTCAGAATATAATTTACATTGCTGGAATTCTTATAATTTGATGATCATTTTGAATATAAACATCATATATTTTGCATTAGACATACAAATTTTAGATAAAATGTTCACTCTTGAGTAAATATGTTATCTTTTGTGCAAATATATGACATTTATATTCAAAATATTCCCTATACTTACAAGGAATCAGCAATAATTATATTATCTAACTTTAATCTGAGGTATTATTTAATACAAAATGTTAAAATGTATTTTTTCACCCACTCTTTCTCTTGAAGACGATTGGTGGGGGGTGGGGGGAGGGGTTGGGACGACGCTGCAATTGAAGAGGAGGCAAGGTGGGGTACTTTGATTGACAGATAGTGTAGTGAGATGATTATTTTTTTATTAACTGAAAGATATTGTTTTAGCTCATAAATTCATACAATTACCGGTCAGAATATAATTTACATTGCTGGAATTCTTATAATTTGGTGATCATTTTGAATATAAACATCATATATTTTGCATTAGACATACAAATTTTAGATAAAATGTTCCTCTTGAGTAAATATGTTATCTTTGTGCAAATATATGACATATTCAAAATCTATTCTGATCGCAATGTCAATGTATTATCCTAACTTTAGTTTGAGTATTATTTATTAAAATTTAGTGGTTTCCCCAAAATTTCTCCAGAGAGGGGAAGGCGGCAGTGTGGTGTGAGAGGGGAGGGAGTTGAGTCCATTATTTGAATGGACATTAACTGGCGACTGTATTTCTCTATTTCTTAAGTATTAATTGTGTGGATGTACCATAAAATTAAGATGTTATTTTTACTACAACATAGTTATGTGTCTTCAAAAAGTGGAGTTTGGGGGTGGGGCGGTTTCTATTGATTAATCCCATATGTTCTGTTGTTCTGCGGTTCACTTAATGATTTCACTTAACACGGGACCCTCTGGGTTCTATTGACACGATCAAATGGGGAACTTAATAATTGTATATATATATATATATATATATATATATATATATATATATATATAACATATATATATATATATATATATAATATATATATATATATATATATACAATATTCAGTATACTGTATATATATACTGTATATATATACTGTACTATTATTTTTTTTTCAAATTTTTTTGTGCATCTGTACCTTAGAATTGCATACCTGTAAGTTCACATCTCTGTACTGTACATTTTGAACTTGTTAATATATTTGTGCAGGTATGTGCAGACCTGTGTCAGGAGTAGATCAAGAAGATGAAGGTGGAAAGAGAAGAAAAAAAGTCAAAACTCACGGACAAGATGGTCAAAGATCCCGATACTTCCCAGATGATGACCAACATGATCTTAAGCGCATGGTGTGTGAGAAAGTATTTCTTATACAGTATATAATATTTGTACACTATAATTCATATTGATAAAGTTGAGGAATTACAGTGTCTTGAAATGCCTGGCAAATTATTTTAGAATAATGAACACTGGAAGTTGTATTTAAAGAGGTTACTTGTACTGTACTGTATATGTAATTGAATGGGTAGAATGCTCGTGGAATAACTTTGAATGATAGAAGCATAATGAAGAAGTGTACGGAATAAGTTGTTTATGGTGCCAGTGTTACTTCTTTCTGGATTAGAAGATTCATGATTGTAAATGATATATTGATAAGGAAAATTTTAAGTCCTAAGTTGATTCTATAAAAGATAACACTGAAGAAGTTGTCATTTGTTCTATACAGTATTAGATTAAATTACCCCGGTAGATCAGACAAAAGATCAGGTACCAGTAGATAAGGGAAGAGGACAAAATGAATAAAAAACAATAAGAATGTATACTTATTCTGTGTGACAGTTGGTAGATAAAATGTATAATATTGTACATGAAAAAATCTAAATTACATGTAAAGTAAAATGACAGAACATTGTTGGAAGTGTTATAGCTATCTTGGCTAACCTGAGTGGTACAGGAAGGCTGACACAAAGTGTTTGGTTGGCATCACTGTGCCACCTGGTCTTTTAGGCCAAAGTATGCTAGCCAGTGTGTATTAATAACAGTAAGTATGAAAAATGCTAATTTTCAGTCTGCTGTTTTAATAAATTTATTTATGTTGGGACACATAAAGTTGGACTGTAATGTTGCTTAAGTTCATGTTTGGTGGTATAGTACATTAAATCCAACATAAATACTGTATACAAGTTCATCTCTTAATCAGGTTAAACTGTGGAAATGGATCAAGTTTTGTGAAACTTTTGGCAATCACATGGTCGTTATTATATTGTAGGGTACTGTGTTGTACAGTATGTATATTCAAGGGTTACGTTTTACATTTAATATCCTTATGTATGTTTCTTTATGATTAAATAACAAAAGTATTTCACACACACAGAGGTAGTTTTGACACATTATATATACAGTATAGTAATCTTCCTGTTAGCTGGAATAATTGGTGCAGAACATTTCCAGGTTTGAGAGATTTCTGGGTATTGAGACGAATTGTCTTATCTCTTATCAGTTCTAATTTAGTTACAAACACCATTTTTATATCAAAATAATCCTGAATAATTTATCTAAATAAATACATATAAAAACAAAACAAAAATCTACCTTTAGATGAAATGGGCCATCAAATGGAGGTATTTTTGGGACACAAGGGACACTGATGCCAGCATATGAGAGCTCCGGCAACAGCAGCCACTCAGTAACAGGAACTTGCCAAACTGCCGACAGTGTATGAGAGACCGAGGAAAAATGTACTACTTGTATTTCCACAGATGTTAAAACCCTACAGTCAGCAGCAAAAAACAAAAAAAAAGTTAAGTCTAGGCTAAAAATTACAGTAGGTTCTGTGTTCTTAGGCAGTTTGACTCAGAAATCTCCCCACCCTCTGGAATTTTCCACCATACAATATATTGAAGATGAAGTGGATCACACTTATGATATGCTTTCAGTCAATTCAAAGTTGTTTATTACCTGTATGTACACTGAGAGAAAGAATGCATTTTTTATTTTTATTTTATTTTTTATTTTCGGTAGTTCATAAATAAGTGAGAGAAAAGGGAAGCAGCACATGCTTCCACGTTGACTCTTAAATAATTGGAAATACCAATTATACCATGTGAGCCGAGTGTGTGTGTGTGTGTGGTGGGGGGGAAGTGATTGCAGTGGTGATGGAAAAGTTATTGTGGTGGCATATACAGTATGTACAGTATATTTTCTTTGTTTTTTGAACAGTTCGAGAGAGAAAAAGGAACATCAGCTGAGGATCAAAACTCTATGTTTGAGCGGGCAGCCATGCACAATAGTGAGAGACTTACCGATGACTATGACATAGACGACATGTTCATGAGTAAGGCAGCACTCAAGGAAACTGCTGCCAAACAAGCAGAGAGAGACAAGCTGAAAGCTATACAGGTAAGAATTAAAAAGACTTGGTTATCATATCATCAAATATTGGAAATTAATACTGTATTGTGATTGCTTCTAGGTTCACATTAATTTTTATTCATCTTGTCGCTTAACCCACAACATTTTACTAATTAAATATGACTGGTAGAGTGCTGTACTGTATAAACAGTTGAGATGGATTTTCATAGACATGAATAGAGTTGTAAGAGTGGATATGCTGTACAGTACTGTGCAGTATTAGAAGGGAAAAAATTATCCAAGATGACTAACAATATGCTGTACAGTACTGTACTCCCATCTTTCACACACACATTACTTCTCTGCAGTCCATGGTTGATATTTATATCTTATTCTAATGTAGATATCTTTGGAAATTATTTTGTACAGATTCTTTGTAGTGACGTTTCTGAGTTAAAATGTTTAAGCATTTGTTCTGTTTGGCATACTAGAATTCCCCCTTTATAATTTATTTATTTATTTATTAATGTTATATTTTTAAAATTGTAGTTTGAATAATGAAGTTCAGGTACATGATGAAAATATATACTGTACCATTGTTAATATAAAAAATCATCTTTTCTCCTTAGGAACACAAGCGTTCAGAACGTTCTTTAGAATCATGTCAGTGGTGTTTTGACAACAAAGAGATGCCAAAGCATTTAATTGTAGCATTAGGAACTAAGGTAAGCACTATGCAAGTTATTTTATTATTTTGCTGGTACTGTTTAACCAGAGCCATTACTAGAGTAGCTTCCACACCTGTATGATTGACCTATTATGTGATGACAATAAAAATCTATAAAATTCTTCCTGTGTCTATGGATGTAATTTAACTTTAATTTCCAAAGTAGAATTGAAGTTATTGTGTGGACAGACTTAGCATTATGAACTTATGTAAGACACACGACATTATTATGATCACCTCCGAGACACTTGAGTTCATTTTGAATCACCTGACAAACCTGGGATCATTATGAGGACTTAAAGGACATCTGATGTCATTAGAAGCACATTCATTATGAGTATTACCAGGGAATCTGACAAATGAAATGTCTTATTCTGGGAAAAACTCTCTAGTTATGCTAATGGAGGGACAAAGGGATAGTTTTTGTTATGACATTTATTGTCCAGTTTTAGTATAGGAGGAGGCTGGAGTAACCAGAGAATACCTACAATGTTTGGTAGTGTCATATTAGATAACATCCTTCTCATATCTGTCCTGGGTCAGGGATAAAACCCAGAACACAGTAGTGAGGGATAAATGCATTACCTCTGTACCACCAACACCTTGTATGAACCTTCTTGCTATAGTATAATGGATGATGAATAGGACAAAGACATATACTGTAACTTGTATGATTTGTTGATATTCTTCTAGTGTAACATTTATGTTGTTACAGTCATATGTTTGTCTACCTCCCCATGAATCTCTGACTCCTGGCCACTGCCTTATTGTCCCAATTCACCATATTGCTTGTTCTGTTCAAGCTGATGAAGATTTATGGAGCGAAATTCAGGTGAGTTATTTTTTCGAGCTTGCGCATGTTAATATATAAATGTTATTGTCCTATGCTCACATACTGTACCATAATCTTTATACTTTATAGTCACAACTTACCATTGCATTAAAGGGAATATCACCTTTTCAGAATTTCCGTAAGTCTCTAGTAAAGATGTTTGCCTCACGAGATGATGACTGCATATTCTTTGAAACAGTTAAGAAGCTGAAATATTATCCCCACATGGTTATAAATTGTGTTCCTCTGCCAAGAGAAATGGGAGATATGGCACCCATTTATTTTAAGGTAAGCATACTTAAACTTTTATGAATTTACAGGTGTATAGTATACACAGAGCAGAAACTACCATGTAGGACTGTACTGTATAGCAACCAGTCTATCCCTCATCTAAATGCTATAAAAAAAATTAAGTACTTAGCTGACAAAATATGAAGCCATATGAGAGATGCACAAATAGCTAAAGATCTGCTGTGGAACTGAAGGTCTGTTGAGCCTTAGGCCTCGTTTGTAGCCTGCTGGGATCAATGGGTCAGGGTCCTCATGGTCAGGACAAAGTACAGTTGTTCAGGAACTTTCCCATGTCATTTTTCATAATGATATAAAATCCCTGGATAGAATGGCTTTGGCAGTCTTCTGTTTAAGTCGTATAAAATATTGTTAGAAATTATATATTTATTAAATAATTTTACCATTTTCATGCATAAATTGTACATTCTCAATAATAACACTGTAAAGTAATAGTGAAGATGATAATCATATTTATAATAATAGTAATGATGATTATAATAATGAATGGTTAATTGAAAGAACATGGCAGTCAAAAAGCCAAATATATACAGTACAATAAACAGAGATGATAAAGGTTACATTTAGTGAAATTAGGATGTGGGGTCAATTGATCAAGAAAAGCTTTCAGTACAAAAAGTAGAAAAAAATGGAGTGAACAAACAAGCTAACTATGGATCGAGTAGTTTACTCAGTGCTAATAAAGGAACTGATCTTGTAAACTGCCTAGGGAGTTTTTAGTGGTGCCAACAAGATCTTTCTAACAGTACAGTAGGTTTCACATACTACCTGTATACTGTATGTGATGTGCGAAGGACAGCTCTGGCCTCCCTTCAGCTGGTCACAATGTGCACATTTTTCACACCCATCACATAGTCCTGGTAGGTCTCCCAGCTCACACAGGGAGTTGGAGAGAGTTCTGATATATATCCTGACTCAAGTAAACTGAAGTTTTGGTTACTGTTACTACTGCTAGTACAGTAAGGCTGTAGTAGTAAATAAAATTTATAGTTATTTATAAATTTCACGAATTCTTAAAAACTTTAAGACTATAAATTCATCCACAGAAAGCGATAATGGAATGTGAAGCTGAATGGGCACAAAATAAGAAGCTGGTTGATTTAAAGAATCGTGATGTTCGCAGAGCAGTACCAAAAGGACTCCCATACTTCTTTGTTGATTTTGCTATGGATGCTGGTTATGCTCATGTGATTGAAGATGAACAGGATTTTCCCAACAACTTTGCTCAGGTGAGAATGATACTGTACAGCATATATATACTGTACTGTATATTATGAAAAATCAACTAATTTCCTAAGAGGATTCATCTTGTTTTTCTGTGGACAATAGATGCACAAAATCTTTTGTAGGCAATGTGCATCACTTTGGGTAGGTTGGCTGAGGCAGGAGGCACCCATGGTGGCTAACAGGCAACTCAGAGACTGGCCAACTAATTAGCAACAAATATTACAAAGATCTTACACGTAAATCTTGTATAAAGGAATATGTTCAATAGCTAAGTGGACTTCAAGATTTTTATTAGCGTTTAATTAAATTAAAAAATATAAATATTTTTTTCAGGAAATTGTTGGTGGGATGTTGGACCTAGATAACAACTTATGGCATAAACCACGGAAGGAGAACTTTGATGCACAGAGAAGGAAAGTAATGGAGTTTAATAATTGGTATAAGAAGTTTGATCCTACTCAGGATGACTGATTGTAAAGGTCAGTACTATATGTGAGGATCATTAGGTGAGGGGATTGTAATTTTAACACATTGTATCAGATGTTTCTTTGTATTAAGGAATGTTTTTCCATTTTGTGGTTCCTATGTAATATGTGATGAAAAGCTGTGTTATTAGATATACAGGTATTCCTCATATAATGGTTGAGGCTGCATTCTTCTAAATGAAGGATACCTGACTGTAAACCAATCATATACAGTACATGACCCAGAAGTAGTTGCCAGATATTGTCAAGTATTCAGGTAATTTTGTCTGTAACTGTACATGAAGTATTAGTGTTGTGGATAAGTTAGTAATGTGGCAGTCAATGATGGTGATTTGTATCTTCTTTAAAGTACAGTACAGGTAAACCTTGAGTTACAATTCGTTACATTTTTAAAACACTGATCATTGGGTGATTGATTATATTTTATAGACTTCCTAACATGGGTTCAATGGTGTTACATATTGGAGATAAGAAAAGTTTTTTTTTACCCTAAATTGATTCAAGCATAATGGAATAAACTCTGATCACCATTACAAGACAATACAACTTTCCTGTACATAATACAGTAGACACATTATTGGAAATCAACACCACAGAGTACATCACTGATTGTTAATCACTGGGCAGTCACAATCAGGCTTACAGTTATTGTTCGTAAAACAGTCACTTGTACATTATTACCTCTCTATACCAAAATAACTGGTGAGTAGCCAGTTCAGTATAGGGAGTTTTTCAGTGTAAATTAATCTGAAAACAAGTCCAATTCCAAACTTTGTTTGGCATAGCTGTATAGTATATGAAAAAGTTTGCATATTTTTAGTCTGGATAAATTGTCATAATGCAGTATACCTGTACCACTTTCTTTTTTTTATAAAATAGTTTGGTAACACAACTGCTTTGAGACATGACGAGAGGATTGTGTGTGACCAGGAGGCTTGTTGGGCAAGGTTGGTTGACTGTAGGGGCGATTGTTAAACTGGGAGTGACTGACTGTAACTTGGGGATGGAGTACTTGTATAATTGAATGAGTGTAACTCGGGGGTAACCTGTATTGAAAAAACTTCCGTGTATATTTTGGGATTATATGATCCTAATATTGAATACTTATGGAGTGTTCAGTATGGAAAAGCTATCTTGTATTAAAATTTACAGTACAGTACAGTGTATGTAAATGTGAAAAGCTTCTATATTATATTTAAAGTATTTATTTCACACAATGTTATCTTCTGGGCAAAAAACAAATTCTGTATGACAGTCATTCAAGGTTACAAGAAATAAATGATATTTTTAAGTTTTATTCTGACATTCAATCTGCTGGAAGAACACATTATTGCAAACACCATCACAACAAGATAAAATTACCAGTGAACATGACAAACTATTGATATTAAAAAAATCTTGGTCCTATCACATCTAAATCAGTTACAGTAAGCCCTTAATTTACCTAGAGTTAAATTCTTGAAAAACTTTGTGAACAGTAAAGCCCTCATTAAACCAAAAGTCTACATAATCCAGACTCAATCTGGCATACATACTAACTTTAAATTCTGTCATTACTCTCGCAGTTACACTATAACATCTGGTTACACCTCTAACTGATATGCCCCTTTGGAGAACTAACCTGGTAATCAAATATTTTTCATGAAACTGATGAAGTTAAAATTCCTTCTCAGTCATTATAAAGAGAAGAAACTAAAGAGATGTTAAAACTAAAGGATGTTCTGAGTACTGAACAGTTACATGCTACACAGTACTGTATACTGCCCAGGTAAATTCCTTAAAGGAGGAATATTTTGCATTTATATTAAGTAATGATTAATATCTTTTCTATTGAAATTCTATGGAAAAATATATACTGTACAGTAGTACCCCGATTTACGCAGTCAATTGAACCCACAGGGTACCGCGTAAAGTGAACAACAGAACATATGGGATTAATTCCAATAGAGATTGGCCCGACCCCCAAACTCCACTTTTTGACAACACACAACTATGTTGTAGTATAAATATTATCTTAACTTTATGATGGTATGCACACACAATTAATAATTAAGAGAAATATCAATAATATTAGTTTTTTTAACACTTACATTAGTAGAAAAGATGGCTGGGCACACAGGGATGGGGGGTTGGTTCCGAGGCAGAGGGCAGATTATTGGCCCTCACCTGTATCACTTGTATCACTATCCACCACATAGGCTTGCAGGGCCTCTTTGTCAAACCCCTCAAAGTCCATATCCTTACTATCACTGACTTAGGCCGGCTGTGGTGGGTGAAGAACTCGGTAATGTTTTGATGACTGGGCGACCTTGTGCGCATCCTGCCCGCGCCGCTTCCCGCGTATATGAGTAGATGCACCGCGGAAAGTGAAAGTTCGGTTCTGGCGAGGTACCGCGTAAATGAGAAATCACGGAAAGTGAAACCGCGTAAAGCGGGGTAATACTGTTTATGAAAACCATAGTATATATTGGAGATTAAATAATATATGAATGACTGAAATTGTGCATGACTTCCGAGTCATTTCTAATGTTTCCACAATATTTCTGTGAATAAATTAAATAACGTAATGCCATCATTTACGAATTTATTAATTAAATTATGGGACAACTAAACAGTCTGAGCCTACACTGTACACTACAGTACTAATTGAGGTCACAACATGATAACACAGTACTGTAATAAATTACTGCTGATATAACCTAATGCTAAGCTATCTAAATGAAGACTGTGTGAGTAGATATGAAAATAAGATACCGTATAAAAATTTATCCGGTACAGTACCATTTTTACGATATTTAGGGAATACTGTACTGCACAGGTACAGTATTTAGGAAATTTTTTTTGTGTATTGTCCTCCTGTAGCTTTTTTTATTATAATATATATCAATAAATGAAAGGAATAAATAAAAATAATATATATATACCAATAAATAGTAAAAACAAAAAATACTGTATTCCCATTTGGCTGCTGGACGACAAAATTTGTCAATTGAGGCGTTGATTAATGCAAGGGCGAACACGGCAAAACCAAGTTTTGAGAAAATGGAGTTTAAAGTTTGCACATATTCGAAATGTCATAGAACCACCAAAAATTCATTGATTCTGTTCAACGAGTCTCATTTTGAAGGCAATTTAATGCAGAATTATGATCCTTGTAATAATTGAAGTGTGATGTATGATTTTGGTGCACATTGACATCAAATAATGAAAAGGTGTGAAATTAACATTCATGAAAGTAATGAAATAATAAAGTTTTGTACACGAAATAAATTTATATTGTATTAAAGTAAAAAAATAAAAAATAAATAAATAATAAATAATGGTAACACTCACTCTAAATGATGATTATGCTCCGCTAAAGAACTTAGTATCAGGGGGGGGTTAGGGTAGGTGGCTAGTAGTCTATCTGGTCATCATCAGGTACACCTTCCTCCTCCAGGACACCAAAAACAAAACGCAGTGGGTTCTTCATTGGTCAACATGCTCCTTCCCGACATGCTGATTAACTCAGGGAGTAAGGCAGGCTGTGATTGGTGGCCGGGCCACTGGCGAGTTCTACTTTGCTTTACTCTCGCCAGACACCGAAATTACCACAGGCAGCACAGAGATGCCAGGAGTTTTACACCATATGATTCAATGGGATTTTGCTGGCAAACATGTCATACCATCTTGTGTCATAGTAGAATGAAACTGGTGGCAAGTTCACCCTTGCATTAATCAACGCTTCTTTGTTTCACTAATCATGGGAAACAACTCAGAACAGTGGAGATACCTCACTCCCTCTCCTCTTAACACACAGAAAGTTTATTCCCTTTTATGTTTTTGGCCTCATGATAATTATTGATCTTAGCTCACAGTAGGGGGAAGGCTAGGCAGATGTGGCAATGCAGTGTAGTGACGAGTCTTGTGTTACCATTATAAATACAAATATAATATAAAATACTGCAAAAACAAGCAAAAATTTATAAAATGTAAGTAATAATATCACAGATGCACGTACTGTACTGTAATGGCCTGCACGGTTCGTCAAAAGGCTGAAGCCAACTCACAACTCCCTGTACCTCCTTTCCCAGCATTCATAAACCATATCACTTACCTTTCTTATGCTATTTAACATTTGTGCCACTTCAAACAACATTTGCATACAATCTAGATGAAAAAAATGCAGCTGAAATCATTAAGGAAAAGCCCAATTAAAGTTTAACATGCTCGCCATTTGCATAGACACTGGCTGCTTCGCCTTACCACTCACCATAGCATTGCTGCTGAGTCCCTAGGAATGTTCCCCCACACTGCACCCTCCTCCCCCTGAGCCAGTTAACTCGTGCACAAAGAAATGTTTATTCCCTTTATTTTTTTTAATTAATGATTATTATTATTATTATTTATTTTTATTTTTTGCAAATTGTGTATGTAAGATTGTGTGTGCATGTAACCTAGTAAAAGAAAATGAAGAAAGTTTTGTAACTCTACCCAAAATTATGAGTTCAAAATATCCATAATACGTCAAAGCTTGGACTGATAGCCTGGTGGTTACAGTGAAGAGTCTAACTTGGCTGCAATGCCGCCAGCAATGTTGACAGATACAAATGTGAAAAGAAATTTATCTGTAAATCTTCATTTGTATCAGGTATTTGTAGATTTAAAGATAATTGTTGCAGGTATGACATTAATAGATAATAATGCTTTAGCTTCGAAGAGTTAGGTGCCTGCTGTACAGATGCTAATTGTCTCGGGTTATCATCATCAGTACAGTGGTTATTAATCGAGTTTAAGTAATGTAAGCAATAACATATTTTTAATTCTGGAGTTGAACTAGGTAGAATTTAGCCTACTGGAGACAGCAACTGGGGGATTCATTGGCCTAAGCGATATCGCAACTTCACATATAGGACGCAGGCTGATTTTTGTTGGCCATTTTTTCAGACAAAAAAGTGTCTTATATGCAGTAAACTATGGTAATTGGGAAGAAAAAATATTGATTCTGGCAGGCTTACAGGATATGCCAGGTCTTGTAGAAGTGGCAACTGATATTCCCCACTGCAGAGTAAGGTCTCTCACTGTTAAGTTAGGCAGTGAAGTAAAAACTGCTGTTACCTGAATACTGCATATAGCTTGGGTATTTACCATAGACCAACCTACAATCCCATCAAAGGTGGCTATTTAACACACATGAATGACAAACAAATACCAAAAGAACAGATTATTTCATGACCTTTCTGCCACATTTTCATTCGCCACAAAAGATTCTCGAACAACCAGGTACGAGATATTTCAGAAGGAGCACTATGACTTGTGTCATCTCAGAATGGTTGGTTGCAATGCTACTCAATATTTTGTAAAATATATGTTGCTCGTCTTTATAGTATTTACAGGTGAAAAGAAGTAACTTAATTTGCAATAAACTTCCTCAGAGCAATGTTCAGATTTCTAGTTCGTTTTGTCATATTGTATGACCCTTAGAGCGTTTGAGAACTTTGTGTGGTGAGTGTACTTGATACCTTCTCACAAAATCTTTTTCTTAATGCTACAAGTGTCACAACTAACCTACACTAAAAAGTGTAAGAATCACATATGAGAAAACAAATACACTGACGATATGTGGGTCATACTGTATATCTATACAGTGTGCTCCATTAAAGTTTTCCTATTTCTGATATGTACAACGCACTTATACTACAGTATTTTAAAGTTCATTAAGTGTACCGGTGATATAAAATGCTACATTTCAGATCTATAGAATAATATGCACATGATGCATCAAGCCAGTCAGTGCCTGGTAAGGCTAAGATACAAACTTGTAAGTTTCAATACTATAGTATCACATATGGTTTATTGATGATCATTTATCTGAGGCACTGAAGTACATTATGACTCCTACCGTATATCACGGCCTATAAGGCGGCGGGGTGCATATGACGCCCCCCCCAAATTTCCATTTAAAAAGTAGCTTTTGAGCTCTATTTGCTGTATAAGACCAGTACCCCAAATGTGACACTTACCCACTGACTCAGTAGTCCTTTACCAACCATCCTTGATTTTTTAAAATAAGGCCAATTCACTTCAAGTAATGTCATCAAATTATACCCGCTGGTGTAGTGTAAACACTAGTGACGTCACTGAAGCGTGTTGGGAGTGTTCCCTCGTCTCGGTGGTGTGACTATTTATACAACATGTGGTTCAACAGCAACCACCGTATTCTAATTGTGGTGTTTCATTAGGATTTGAGTGAAAAAGGTTACCAGTATGTACTTACTACATACATTTATTACACAAATATATATATATATATATATA